GGAAGAACGTTCCAGACGGCCGCTGAAGTGCATCTGAAAGCGCGGTGGTGATGGATGTTCTAGAAGGGCTAGAGAGCTGAGTGACTGAATTATATTGATGTTCTAGAAGGGATAGATAACTGAGTGGATGATGCACACTCTAATGATGTTCTAGAAGGGCTAGAGAGCTGAGTGACTGATGTACAACTCTGGTGATGCTCTAGAAGGGCTAGAGAGCTGAGTGACTGATGTACATTCTAGTGATGTTCTAGAAGGGATAGAGAGCTGAGTGACTGATGTACATTCTAGTGGTGTTCTTGAAGGGCTACAGAGCTGAGTGACTGATGTACATTCTAGTGGTGTTCGAGAAGGGCTAGAGAGCTGAGTGACTGATGTACATTCTAGTGATGTTCTAGAAAGGCTAGAGAGCTGAGTTACTGATGTACAACTCTAGTAATGTTCTAGAAGGGCTAGAAAGCTGAGTGACTGATGTACATTCTAGTGATGTTCTAGAAGGGCTAGAGAGCTGAGTGACTGATGTACAACTCTAGTGATGTTCTAGAAGGGCTGGAGAGCTGAGTGACTGATGTACAACTCTAGTGATGTTCTAGAAGGGATAGAGAGCTGAGTGACTGATGTACAACTCTAGTGATGCTCTAGAAGGGCTAGAGAGCTGAGTGACTGATGTACAACTCTAGTGATGCTCTAGAAGGGCTAGAGAGCTGAGTGACTGATGTACAACTCTAGAGATGCTCTAGAAGGGCTAGAGAGCTGAGTGACTGATGTACAACTCTGATGATGCTCTAGAAGGGCTAGAGAGCTGAGTGACTGATGTACAACTCTAGTGATGTTCTACAAGGGCTAGAGAGCTGAGTGACTGATGTACAACTCTAGGGATGCTCTAGAAGGGCTAGAGAGCTGAGTGACTGATGTACAACTCTGATGATGCTCTAGAAGGGCGAGAGAGCTGAGTGACTGATGTACAACTCTAGTGATGCTCTAGAAGGGCTAGAGAGCTGAGTGACTGATGTACAACTCTAGTGATGTTCTACAAGGGCTAGAGAGCTGAGTGACTGATGTACAACTCTGATGATGCTCTAGAAGGGATGGAGAGCTGAGTGACTGATGTACAACTCCAGTGATATTCTAGAAGGGCTAGAGAGCTGAGTGACTGATGTACAACTCTGATGATGCTCTAGAAGGGATGGAGAGCTGAGTGACTGATGTACAACTCCAGTGATGTTCTAGAAGGGCTAGAGAGCTGAGTGACTGATGTACCGGTTTAAATTCCCGCTCACGACCAACACCGGCGATTATTATCTGAACCGGTCCTGGGCTGCTCCCTAGGTCGACTCAGCCTCAAATGAGTACCTGGTGTGATGTGTATAACATCGCAGCTGGGGAGACAAAGGCGGCCGGGCGTGGTGTTGGCCACCCACCCCCTCGTGTGCCGTGCCGGCCTTCATAGGTGCTGCTCGCTAACAGCACTTGCCCCAGTAGTCGCCTGAGGCTACACGGGGGGGGGGGGGGGGCTTTGTCTTTGTGTTATGGCGCAGTGGTTGACGCACTGCGAAGCCCCAGTAATTCAATTCCCCGCTCACGGCCAACATCAGTGGCGATTATCTCTGAACCTGACTGTGTGCATTTAAATTACCGTGCACATGTTTGTGTGCGTGTGTGTGTGTACACGCGTGTGTGTGTGTGTGTACACGCGTGTGTGTGTGTGTGTACACGCGTGTGTGTGTGTGTGTATATGCGTGTGCGTACATGCTGAGAGTTGAATCTTCATGTTTGTGTGTGAGTGGGGAGCGGTGGCGCAGTGGTTAGCGCGCTGCGCTACCAACCTGACCCAACCACCCTACCTCACCGAGTTCGATTCCCAATTGCGGCCGCCAACACCCAGTGACGATTATTTGAACCGGTCCTGAAGCTCCCCTAGGACGACTCAGCCTCAAATGAGTACCTGGTGCGGTTCGTAAAGAAACATCGCCACGAGGGAGACAAAGGCGGTCGGGCTTGGCGCTAGCCACCCACCCCCTCGTGTGCCGTGCCGGCCTTCATAGGTGCTCGCTAACAGCACTTGCCCCTACAGTCTGTGAAGGTTATACCGGGGATGTTTGCAAACGCGCATTGATCAGCTTGGCGAAATTTCGATTTAAAGCTTTCGTGAGTGCAGGGATTCATCTTCTTGGTTCTTTCGGTAAAGTCACGTAGAAGGGAAGTAATAAAATAATAAAAATAAAACATAATAAAATAATGAAATTTCGATTTAAAGCTTTCGTGACTGCAGGGATTCATCTTCTTGGTTCTTTCGGTAAAGTCACGTAGAAGGGAAGTAATAAAATAATAAAAATAAAACATAAGACCTGGTTTAACTTGAGGACGGCTGCTTGCGTTGTGGCCGAAACGTCGTGAGAATTATTTTATAATGTTTTATGTTTTATTATTTTATTACTTCCCTTCTACGTGACTTTACCGAAAGAACCAAGAAGAAAAAAACTGCTTGGCGAAGTTTGTTGAAGCCATCCAGTAAGCGTCACAGCGTGACTCGACTTAGACACACACGTGTGCGTACTTCGTGTTTTTGTGCGTGTATGTTCGGGAATGTATTTCGCTACTGTGTGTGGTGGTGTGTGTGTGTGGTGTGTGTGGGTGTTTGGTGGTGCTGGTGTGTGTGTGGTGGTGATGTGTATGTGGTGGTGTGGGTGTGTGTGTGGTGGTGTATGTTTGTGTGTGTGTGGTGGTTTGTGTGTGTGGTGGTGTGTGTTGTGTGGTGGTGGTCTGTGTGTGTGGTGGTGTATGGGTGGGTGTTTGGTGGTGATGTGTATGCGGTGGTGTGTGTGTGTGGTGGTGTATCGGTGGGTGTTTGGTGGTGATGTGTGTGCGGTGGTGTGTGTGTGGTGGTGTATGTGTGTGTGGTCGTGGTGTGTGTGTGTGGGCGTATGAGTGCTTGCGTACACCGCGCCAAAGATAAAGATCTCCCAGGTAGACTTCAACCGGCTGTTTTGGGGCAAGTGCCGTTCGCAAGCACCTCTTGAAGGGCCGGGGGGGACTGTGCAAGTGGAGATGGGGGGGTGGCCAGCACCCGCTCACAACCGTCTTTGTCTCCCCTAGTGTTGAGGCCGAGTCGATCTAGGGGAGTCCCAGGACCGTCGCTGATGATGTCCCGTGAGCCCGAACATAAACAGTTCGTGTACTTTTCGTGAAACGTAATCCACGCGACTTTGTTGCGTTTGCGTACTTTACAACGTTGTAATTTACGCGCGCCTGTGCACACGAAAATAAACCGCAGCCTTGTGTACATATGAAGACGTAAAAAACGAATATTGCTGCAAATATATGCATGCTCGTATAGTTTTACGATCGTGTAATAGGCACACACACACACACATTCTTGCGCGCACACACACACACACGCATATACACACACACACACAGTGCTTGTGTAGTGTACATGCGCAAAGACAAAGGTCCCCCGTATAGCCTTAACAGACTGTTGGGGCAAGTGCTGTTAGCGAGCAGCAGCTGCACCTATGCAGGCCGGAATGGGTGGAAAACGACACGCCCGGCCGCCTTTGTCTCCCCAGCCGGGGGGGGGGGGGCTTTACAAATCGATTTTTTGGGGGTGAATCGAACTCTCGCTGCCTTCTGGGTCCATCCAGCTGAACGAAGTTATGGGTTCGTCACCGGTCTGTGGTCGGCAAATCGCTTTGTGGCGATTGGAAACCGTTTCATTCATCGCTCGCTGTATCAGTTGCTCGCCTCGACTACTGGAGCATCATCGTCATCATCAGAAAATCGATTATTGAAAATCGATTATTTCATACGAAACTCGCGTTGACGTCTGCCCCGGGCCCACCGGAATAATCTCGAATATTCTAAGAATCCGTCATCATTTTGACTTTGTTATTAAAGTACCAACGTCTTCGAGTGATGCAGTAAATTTTCCGTGACGGTTCCGCCTGAAGACGGAAGCTTGTGTTGCCTCCGAAACGTCGTGATTTTTATTTTATTTTTATTTTATTAATTTTAATTTAAAATTTTCACCTACGTGACTTTACCGAAAAAACAAGAGTATCAATCCTTGCAGTCACGAAAACTTCAAATCTATAAAGTGCCAACCATTGGCTTGCGACCCCGACAATTGTGGTGCATCCCTTCAATCCACACACACGTGGCACGCGCTCCTGATGTGTTTGTGCGGCGCTCCTGATGTGTTTGTGCGGCGCTCCTGATGTGTTTGTGCGACACTCGCAGCGCTCATTCGGTACCCCAGGGGAATGTGTGTGAGGTTGTTACCAGGAGGGTGACGAGATGTTAACTCCCTCGCCTGCTATGCAGGAGGGTCGTGGGTTCCGATCCCGCGCCCGGTAACGCCTGCTGCTGTGTATTTGGAGTTTGTGTGTCTCTCTCTGTGGGGAGCGGTAGTGTAGCGGTTAGCGCGCTGCGCTATGAACCTGGCGACCCGGGTTCGATTCCCGCTCACGGCCAACACCAGTGACGATTATCTGAACCGGTCCTGGGCCTCCCCTAGTTCGACTCAGCCTTAAATGAGTACCTGGTGCGGTGTGTAAACATCGCTCACTGGGGAGACAAAGGCGGTCGGGCGTGGTGCTGGCCACCCACCCCCTCGTGTACCGTTCCGGCCTTCATAGGTGCTCGCTAACAGCACTTGTCCCTACAGTCTGTTAAGGCTATACGGGGGATCTTTATCTTTGTGTCTCTCTCTCTCCCCGTGGTCGCGTGGATTTTTCTCCGGGTCCTCCGGTTTTTCCCCTCCGCATTTAGAATCGACATCGTGAGTCTAGAAAGTAGTTGCATGCTGCTGTAAATGTCCACGTGATTGAGCCACTTTGTTGAGCTATAATTTGTGATGGCCATTACCTGGTTAAATAAAAAAAAAGTGTTTAACGTGCTTTATTTTTAATAGATTGGTTTTAGTTTTGTATGTCTGGCTGACTAACGTGTTTCTCTCTCTGTCTCTCGTGTCTCTTTGTCTGTGCCTGCTTTGTTGTGACCAGTTCACGACACCTACACGATATGGTGAGAAGAGAGATGGAGTGGATGGTCAAGACGACTTGAAATGCTCTCAACCAACAACCAACAACAACCAACAACAACAACAACAACAAAAACTGACCACGCAAAATTACAATCGATTCTAATATTTTATTTTGTGAACACTCAACCCCCCTCCCCCATCCCCTTGAATATTGATGGATTATCGATAAATGTTTTCCTCCACTGACAAAAAACGCACACACACACTTTATAACACGTGATAACAACACACAATAGTACAATACGTATAACGCGTGCATATAAACACGCGTGCACACATGCCGGATTAACGAGAGGGGGGGGGGGTTGACGGATCGTAACGAGATGGGTATATTTGGGGACGAAATGATGAATGAGCTTACAAAATATCAATCCGTGTCTCTCTCTCCGTCAGCATCGACACTTAACCACACAAAGACAAAGCAACCCGCTGCCCCGGTATAGCCTTGGGGAGGTTGGGAGGGCAAGTGCTGTTAGCGAGTAGCACCAATGAAGGCCGCCACAGGCAAGGTCGATGAGTGACATCTGCCCGTCCCTTCCCGCAATTACCACGCCCGGCCGCCTTTGTATTCCCACCCGGTACTACACAGCAAGTGGTAGTTGTGTTTTAAGGCTGAGTGGATCGAGTCGGGCAGGGAAGCCTCAAATGTATTCGATGCGCATAGTTATAGGGTAGGGGGAAGGGAGAGATGGGGGGGGGGGCAGAGGGGGGCGGGGTGGGTGGGGGGCCGTGGGGGGATGGGTTTAGCTGGGTTCGTCTCGTAGCGCGGTGCGCTAACCGGAGCGCCACCACTCCCCACCAAACGCACGCACGCACGCACGCGCACACGCGCACACGCGCGCATCGCTTTCATTAAGGCAAGTTAATATCAAGTTAATATCAAGAGTAATAAAGTGAATATAAGACTACGTTGTTGTAAGGGTTATTTATAAAAATTGCCATTCTTTTAAATAAAGAAAAAATTACAAACCACACAAAATATACATGTGTTCATTTTCGTCTCATCATTGAAAATTGTTGCTATTAAAATAATATTAATAATTATAATTGACTGATTTGTGAATAGATTGTTAAACTATGTAAGCATGTCCGTTTCAGGCAATTGCTTATATATTAAAAAAATTCGATGCGTTTATATGTGTGTGTATACACTGTCTCTTAATGTCTATACAAAACGGGATGCTATAAATACGTAAATACATGAATAAAATAAGTTACTAGATCAGTGTAGATTTTTTTCCCCGATATAATTTTTTTGTTTTGTTTTGGAAAGCTTCGTTAAAATAAAGTTGTATAAAGCAAAGTCATCGCGATCATCATCATCAGCAGCAGCAGCATCATCATCATCAGCAGCAGCAGCAAAATGTACATACGCGAACTAATGGCTTTGATTTAAATGATTTAAAGAAATTAAGACCTTTGAATTCAATGAATAAAATTTGTGGATAGAGTGAACTTCTTGAGTGAGGCTGCATTCCAATGTTCCGAGTGTGTGGGTGAGTGCGGGAAGACAAAGGCGGCCGGGCGTGGTGCTGACCACCCACCCCCTCGTGTGCCACAGTGCGGGCCTTCATAGGTGCTGCTACGAGCTGGCGGCACTTGCCCCAACAGTCTGTTGAGGCTACACAGGGGATCTTTGTCTTTGTTGCGCTCGAGTTCGAGAATGGTTGAGTTGGTGAGTGAGTGGGCGAGTGGTTGAGTTGGTGAGTGAGTGGTTGAGTGGGCGAGTGGTTGAGTCGGTGAGTGAGTGGACAAGTGGTTGAGTTGGTGAGTGAGCGAGTGGTTGAGTTGGTGAGTGAGTGGGCGACTTCTTGAGTTGGTGAGTGAGTGGGCGAGTGGGCAAGTGGTTGAGTTGGTTGGTGAGTGAGTGGGCGAGTGGTTGAGTTGGTGAGTGAGTGGGTGAGTGGTTGAGTTGGTGAGTGAGTGGGCGAGCGGTTGAGTTGGTGAGTGAGTGGGCGAGTGGTTGAGTTGGTGAGTGAGTGGGCGAGTGGTTGAGTTGGTGAGTGAGTGGGCGAGTGGTTGAGTTGGTGAGTGAGTGGGCGAGTGGTTGAGTTGGTGAGTGAGTGGGCGAGTGGTTGAGTTGGTTGGTGAGTGAGTGGGCGAGTGGTTGAGTTGGTGAGTGAGTGGGCGAGCGGTTGAGTTGGTGAGTGAGTGGGCGAGTGCTTGAGTTGGTGAGTGAGTGGGCGAGTGGTTGAGTTGGTGAGTGAGTGGGCGAGTGGTTGAGTTGGTGAGTGAGTGGTTGAGTTGGTGAGTGAATGGGCGAGTGGTTGAGTTGGTGAGTGAGTGGGCGAGTGGTTGAGTTGGTGAGTGAGTGGGCGAGTGGTTGAGTTGGTGAGTGGTTGAGTTGGTGAGTGCTTGAGTTGGTGAGTGAGTGGGCGAGTGGTTGAGTTGGTGAGTGAGTGGGCGAGCGGTTGAGTTGGTGAGTGAGTGGGCGAGTGCTTGAGTTGGTGAGTGAGTGGGGGAGTGGTTGAGTTGGTGAGTGAGTGGGCGAGTGGTTGAGTTGGTGAGTGAGTGGTTGAGTTGGTGAGTGAATGGGCGAGTGGTTGAGTTGGTGAGTGAGTGGGCGAGTGGTTGAGTTGGTGAGTGAGTGGGCGAGTGGTTGAGTTGGTGAGTGGTTGAGTTGGTGAGTGGTTGAGTTGGTGAGTGAGTGGGCGAGTGGTTGAGTTGGTGAGTGAATGGGCGAGTGGTGGAGTTGGTCAGTGAGTGGGCGAGTGGTTGAGTTGGTGAGTGAGTGGGCGAGTGCTTGAGTTGGTGAGTGAGTGGTCGAGTTGGTGAGTGAGTGGTTGAGTTGGTGAGTGAGTGAGCGAGTGGTTGAGTTGGTGAGTGAGTGGGCGAGTGGTTGAGTTGGTGAGTGAGTGAGCGAGTGGTTGAGTTGGTGAGTGAGTGGACGAGTGGTTTAGTTGGTGAGTGAGTGAGTGTTTGAGTTGGTGAGTGAGTGGTCGAGTGGTTGAGTTGGTGAGTGAGTGAGTATGTTGTTTTGCCACTTTTTAGACATCGATGCAGACACTACGTTGCAACGAGATACATAGACAACAACAATCTCCCATGTAAGGCGACAGTGTGAGATTATTGTTGTGTCCTGCGAATGCGTCGAGTTGGTGAGTGTGTGAGTTGGTGGGTGGGTGAGTTGGTGGGTGGGGGAGTGGGGGGGTGAGTGAGTTGGTGGGTGGGTGAGTTGGTGGGTGTGTGTGTGAGTTGGTGGGTGGGTGTGTGCATGAGTGAGTTGGTGGGTGGGTGAGTTGGTGGGTGGGTGAGTTGGTGAGTTGGTGAGTGTGTTGTTACGGGGTGAGTTGGTGAGTTGGTGAGTGGGTGAGTTGGTGGGTGGGTGAGTTGGTGGGTGGGTGAGTTGGTGAGTTGGTGAGTGTGTTGTTACGGGGTGAGTTGGTGAGTTGGTGAGTTGGTGAGTGGGTGAGTTGGTGGGTGGGTGAGTTGGTGAGTTGGTGGGTGGGTGAGTTGGTGAGTTGGTGAGTTGGTGAGTGGGTGAGTTGGTGAGTTGATGGGTGGGTGAGTTGGTGAGTGGGTGGGTGGGTGAGTTGGTAAGTGGGTGAGTTGGTGAGTTGGTGGTTGGGTGAGTTGGTGGGTGGGTGAGTTGGATGGTGGGTGAGTTGGTGGGTGGGTGAGTTGGTGAGTTGGTGAGTTGGTGGGTGGGTGAGTTGGTGAGTGGGTGAGTGGGTGAGTTGGTGAGTGGGTGAGTTGGTGGGTGGGTGAGTTGGTGGGTGGGTGAGTTGGTGAGTGGGTGAGTTGGTGAGTTGGTGAGTTGGTGAGTTGGTGAGTTGGTGAGTTGGTGGGTGGGTGAGTTGGTGAGTGGGTGGGTGGGTGAGTGGGTGGGTGGGTGAGTTGGTGAGTTGGTGAGTGGGTGAGTTGGTGGGTTGGTGAGTTGGTGGGTGGGTGAGTTGGTGAGTGGGTGAGTGGGTGGGTGGGTGGGTGAGTGGGTGGGTGGGTGAGTGGGTGAGTTGGTGAGTTGGTGAGTTGGTGGGTTGGTGAGTTGGTGGGTGGGTGAGTTGGTGAGTGGGTGAGTGGGTGGGTGGGTGAGTGGGTGGATGGGTGAGTTGGTAAGTTAGTGAGTGGGTGAGTTGGTGGGTTGGTGAGTTGGTGGGTGGGTGAGTTGGTGAGTGGGTGAGTGGGTGGGTGGGTGAGTGGGTGGGTGGGTGAGTGGGTGGGTGGGTGAGTGGGTGAGTTGGTGAGTTGGTGAGTGGGGAGCGGTGGCGCAGCGCGATCTACGCGCTGCGCTACGAACCCGGCGACCCGAGTTCGATTCCCGCTCACGGCCAACACCAGTGACGATTATCTGAACCGGTCCTGGGCCTCCCCTACGTCGATTGAGCCTTAAATTAGCTCCTGGTGATGCGTGTAAACATCGCTACTGGGAGACAAAGGCGGCCGGGTGTGGTGCGTGTCGTATCGGCCTTCACAGGTGCTCGCCAACAGCACTTGCCCCAACAATCTGTCCAGGCTATACGGGGAATCTTTGTCTTTGGCTGAGTGTGTTGTTATGACGCGCATTGTTGCGTCAACCAGTTTGGGACCACACGCTGCGATTGGAAGACTTTACGTGAACAAAAAAAAACAATGAATAGGGTGACGTTTCAGGCAACGAGCCTTTGTCAAGGCACGTAGAGAGGACAGAGAGGCAAAGCGAGTTTCCATGGATTTTTGAAAGCATTGCGTGATTAGAAATTACGTTCGTTCCAAAGTTGATGAAAACTAAAATAGTGGAGAACGTTTTAGCCATCTCATCAGCCGCGCGGCCATTGGGCAGAGGGCATCATTTCAGCAGCGTTGATTCTAGACGAGCCGACACTCGGGGATGTCTTCAACACCCGGTGTCTCATCAGCAGTGCCAGGCTTTTGCTGGAATCAATGATGGTGAAACTGCCAACTCGTCCAGGCTAGAGCGGGTTTCGAGACTAAGTGTTTCATCAGCAGATCCAGGCTTTTGCTGGCATCAATGATGGTGAAACTGCCAAATCGTCCAGGTCAGAGCGGGTTTTGAGACTAAGTGTTTCATCAGCAGATCCAGGCTTTTGCTGGCATCAATAATGGTGAAACTGCCAAATCGTCCAGGCTAGAGCGGGTTTCGAGACTAAGTGTTTCATCAGCAGATCCAGGCTTTTGCTGGCATCAATGATGGTGAAACTGCCAAATCGTCCAGGCTAGAGCGGGTTTCGAGACTAAGTGTTTCATCAGCAGATCCAGGCTTTTGCTGGAATCGATGATGGTGAAACTGACAAATCTTACAGGCAAAAGCGGGTTTAGAGACTCAGTTCCTCATCAGCAGAGCGAGGCTTTGCTGGAATCAATGATGGTGAAAATGTAACATCTTCCAGGCAATAGCGGGTTTCGAGACTCAGTGTGTCATCAGCAGTGCCAGGCTTTTGCTGGAATCAATGATGGAGAAACTACCAAATCTTCCAGGCAATAGTGGGTTTCGAGACTCAGTGTGTCATCAGCAGTGCCAGGCTTTGCTGGAATCAATGATGGTGAAGCTGCCAAATTTTACAGACAATAGCGGGTTTCGAGACTAAGTTTCTCATCAGCAGTGCCAGGCTTTTGCTGGCATCAATGATGGAGAAACTACCAAATCTTCCAGGCAATAGTGGGTTTCGAGACTCAGTTTCTCATCAGCAGTGCCAGGCTTTGCTGGAATCAATGATGGTGAAACTGCCAAATCTTACAGGCA